CAGAGACATGCAGCATCACCAGGGGGCAGTGTTTCCACGAGGATCAGTTTAAACAGTGTTCAGTGAAGCAGTAACCTTTGACCTGAGACGCTGGAGCACCAGGAAGAGGAAACCGTCCTTGACGTTGGTCCGATGGTCAACGTTTATAAAGAGTGGGGTTTTTTTTTAACAGTTCTCACAGAAGCTCCACGCTCCACCTCTGGTTCAGCTTCTTCTCCTCAAACGTGTTGAGAATCACCTGGTTCCTGTCGAACTGTTTACCGCCTGCAGGACAAGGACAGAGTTCAGTCAAAGATGTTTCACTGATTTAAATATGGTCGATGTTGAAAAACAAACAATTATTCTGTCGTTGTCTGTGTCCAGAAAATAAATTCAAACTTTAATTTATCATAACTGTAAAAAAAAACAAACGCTTCAAAACACCAGAAGATGGCAGTGCTGAGTTGCAGTTGCCTTCCTGAAGTTGCGACAGCGCCACCTTACCTTTGACCTCCAGCACCAGGTCAGGGTTAAAGTGGCAGCGGACCAGACCGTCGGGGGTGATGCTCCACAGCTGCCCCTCCCTGCCTCCGTCTGGGGTAATACAGAGTCGGGTGCCGGCCAGAACCACAGGCCCCGAGGTCTGCAGCACGCAGTCCTCCAGCATCTGAGGACGGACAGGAAATGAAAGGATCGGTGAGTTCAAAATCAAATGTGACATTTATTAACAACCTAAACACAAAACATGGTCGTTACGTCTCAAACTGAAATACATCAAAACAAAAGTATTTGTTTGTAGGAAAGTTTTTTTTGTTGATAAAAACAAAAATCAACTCTTTTTTTAAACACATTTTCAAATGCACAAAAATTAAAAAACGAATTATTTTGGACCAAATCAGACAGATTTACTGTGTTGGTGAGTGCAGTTACACAGTGTCACATATAGGGGCAGTGTTAGTTTTAGAGTGATGTTGTTTTTAAAGTTTCATTGCTCAGTTCTGTCTTTACCTGTTTTATAATGAATAACTCCTTCATGCAGTATGGTGACCCCTACTGGACGCAGCTAGCACTGTTAGATTTGTCTTTGTCACCTTTAAATGAGATCAGTGAGGACCCACACAGTCACAAACCTTCGTGACCCAAGTCAAAAGACATGATGAGAGACCACCCTGAGGGTCGCGACCCAGTCTTTGGGAAACGATGCCCGACTATAACAATAAAACTGAACTGGTTCTAACTGGTACGGCTGATGATTGGCAGCTGGACTCGTCAGCGTCACGTGACCCGTACCTTGCAGACGAGCTGTCCGTCCCGGTAGAGCCAGACCTGCTCCACCCCCCCGGTCTCCTCCACGGCCTGAATCCTCATCAGCTTGATGTCGTCCAGAGTTCCAGTCAGTGACATCACGCCGCCGGTGCCTCGGTTCCGCAGACAGAAGTAGATCTGCTTCTGTTGACGGAAGGACACGCAGAAGGTCAGAGGTCACGTCTGAGGTCAGAGGTCAGGTCTGTTTTTTTTAGTGTTTCTCTCCTACCTGAAGCAAAGGCCGCAGGGATCCGATCTGCTGCCAGCCAATCAGCTGACAGAGGTCTGTCACCTGACTGGGACGGAGGAACAGCTGCCGACCTCGGAAGTTACTGCCCTCGTACAGGACCCACCTGCAGGCGACGGGCCGTAACAGCGTGTTAGTTCACAGTCACGGCTTCTTTAATCACATGTCAACTTCCACACGGTGGCGACATGTCAGCTGAGGCGCGGCCGCGGCTAAAAACTGGACTCACACCGATTTTGGGAATTTCATGAGCTCTTGTTAAAACAGTTCCCGAGGTTGAAAGAAAATCCCAGAAGGTTTGGACGAGTGAGTTTTAACGATCTGTTACAGATCAGTTTGAAATAAGTCGTAAGATTGTCGTTCAGTTAGAGAAACGACGCATCGCGAACGGGTTAAAAATCGACCGTCAAGGTGTCAGGAGTCACTGGTCAGACCATGACACCGTAGGCTAAGTCAGTGATTCCCAACCCCTGGGCCATGGCCCACCAGTGTGCCGTGAGAGGTCATTAGTTGGGCCGTGGATAATTATTTCACTTAATTGGTTTAAAAAAGTATTATTTATATCTTGCAAATATTTTTTTTTCGTTTGTGACATGCAGAACAATAAAATACCCTTCCACTAGGTGGCAGCAAATGGCCATGAAAACTAAAAAAAGTGAACCAGAGCTGTTGAAGATCTTTCTTCAATTCCTGCCAGTGCATCAACGTTGTCTTCAACTAAACAGGTCGAGGTTTTAGTGAATAAAACCAGAAAGTTATTTATATTTTTTACAAATACTTTTCGTCAGATTTTCGTTCGGTGGCGCGCCGCGGCACAAACACAGGAAACACTGGCCTAAGAGACGTTCAGGTGTTGAAACAGAACCTGGGACAAACCTGTTCCACAGACACCGTCCAGTTTTTCACTACATTATGTCATTGCAAAGACAGAAACATCAAGACTAACGTACATTCCTCCGTCCACCAGCACAGAGTGGACGCGTGTGTTGAGGCCGGCCTGCTGCAGGTTCACCGCTTCACTGTTCAACGCCGTCCTGCGACCACTGCAGCCCACCTTACTGAACAGGACGATGGAGGGCAGGGACTGTTCCTGCGGGGGGGGGGGGGGGGGTGTGGGTTAGTAACTCTCGTAGTAACCATACTGATACAGTGGCTCAGTGGTGAAGTCAAGTCTCGCCTGTTCACTAAGGGGTTAAAACAGTGTTTCTCAATTATT